TTCCATTCGGGTGCCCCAGACAATGAATTGCTTGTCTCGATCTTTGGTCCCAAGCCTTGTTGGTTAATTTATTCAGCTGAGTGACTGAACATGACAGTATGTGAGTGTATCGTCATCCTAAACGAGGGCAGATGAGATTAGTAGAGGAATTTCAAAAGGAGCTGCCAAAATGCGAGTGGTTGTCTCTTCTCAACCTGCTCGCCCTTCAATACTTTTGAGTCCACCTCTCATACACTGTAGCAGGGGCAAAAAGAAACCCGAAGAGGTGATAATGAAGAGGATTAAAAAGGGAGTTAAAAACATGGGGAGCATTGAGTGTTGGTTTATGTTACAATTTTTTTTCAAAATAAGGCAACTCCCAGATTGCAGCAAGTGTCCATCGTTCAGCTCTAATTAGCGGTATTTAATTTTTGTTCAAATGGCTGAGAAAACAAACTTTCCTAGCTCCCGCACCGCTAATGTGGACGAGAATGGATAAGTGGAAATCGAAGATAACAGAGCTCTGTAGCCTGTGCTCGCTAAAGGTCCAACCATTTCTCCGCATACAAACACTGTTTTCGATACTTCAGAGTTAATTTCAGATTTGGTTTAACTCAAGCCACAACCGCCCCCCCCCCAACCCTCCTCCCCACCCCCGCCCCCTCTCCTCCACAAAAGCAAAAGCCAATTTCACTAACTAGTCAGCTTTTTACATGTGCGAAGTTGTGAAAAGAGATCGACTATGTACATATGTACAAAATTTAAGACAATTGCTAAGACATTAATATCCTAAGGGAGGGGAATGATGAGGGAAATTACGCACTTCCTTCATCAACTTCCAAGTAGGTGGAATTTGAGGTAGCAGCGCGACGACGAGGTCTTAGTTGATGGGGATTAGAGGGAACATCAGCTAGTTCTACTTCGTCTATAAAGTCATCATCATCATCACTATTGGGTCTTCGACGTCGTGTACTTCTTGATCGACTGGTTGCGTTCGGCCTACCCCTTCGTCCATTTCTCCTTCCTCCTTGACGCCTTCTGGATCGGTCATCAAAGGAGCTAGGAGATAGCGAAGTCAATGAATCAAGATATAATCGAGTTGGTCTACGCGATACTCTTCCACTTGATGTTTGAACAACGGAGCCATCATCATCATCATCATCTCCATCATTGCTGTTACCATCATAATCCGAGTCATCTAAATCTGAATATACTCCTTTATTAAGTAATATAAAGGTAGAGAGAGGGGGAGAGAGACAAAAAACCAAGACTTGCACTCACCGACAGAGAATGTGTGACTAAATGAAGAAAAGTAAAGTGGAAATCAATAAAGTGCTTCGAAAAAAAAACGTCAAGTACAACTGTTACAAACCTGTTTCTTGAACGATTTCTAGGACGCAAGTTCCTTCGTGGTGGAGTATTTTCGTCAGGACTGTTAGCTGATACTTGGTTGGTACCCTCTTCAAGGTACTCCGAAAGGGAATTCACAGCCACTCTATTGATCCATCGTTCCAACCACGTAGTGTCCACGTAGACCTAAAGCGGAAGGGGGGAGAGAGAAATCGTCATTAGGAAGAAATGGACAAGAAGGTAGTACAAATAATGGATATTGATTCTCAATGGATAATCACCATAAAGCAGAAGAGCATAAAGAAAGCAAAATCGATAAGAACAAGGCATGAGCAATTTAACTAAAATATTTCTCTTCTTCCATTCACTGAACCCAGAAAGAGTCCGAAGCGCTTCTTGAAACTTGCCTGCATGGTAGGATCTGTGTTAAAGAGACGAGAATTGTGCACAATAAGTCGGAGATCGTCGATGAATTGCTGAGCACTGGTGTAGAATAGTCCAATATTTTCAGACTGCGTACGAACAAGACGTCTTCCAATTTCACTTAAATCCATCGGATGTTCAACGATATCACGATACGTCTAGAAGGGGGATAGAGGTGAGAAGAGGTAAACAAAGGCACCGCCAACAACTTACCACATATTCCTCAACATCAACAGGAGATCTAAAGAATACACTCTGGGGATGTCGAATGACTTTACAAAGGAGTTCTCTACATTTTATTCTCCATTCACAATCCTCGGTATCATCTGCCTCTTCCAGGTTGTTGCTCTCTGGATTTGTAGGGGAGGCTAAATCTCTGAGGGGATGTCTTTGTTCAATAACAGGAGCGAGAACATCAGTCACAACAGTTAACTCCGACTGAGAGGCTGGTTCATTCACCTGTGTCCCATCCTCTTGAAGAGAATATCCAACACCAACCGCCCCCATAGCATTCAACACTTGTTCAGCGGTTGGACTGACGGATGGTTCGACAATTTCTCTTACTTCCTCCTCCCGATCCATTTCCACATTATCAATAATCACAAGACGAGGAGGAGGAGGAAGTTGGGGCGCAACTTCCACGTCCAACTCTGAATAAACAGGCAAATTAATTTCAGGCTCACGAGCTACCAGCTGATTGTAGTCGGCAACCAGTTTTTCCTAGAGGGAAACAAAATAAATAGTCAATGAAAAACTATTCAAGAGCTTTGGACACATTTTACCATAGTTGTTAACACCTGTAATCATTTAGCTACCAATAGAAGATTCTTTCTGCTCTTTCAATGCGTCGACGTGAGGACATTTCCCTCACGATAGACTCGAATTCTCTCACTTCTAACCAGACGCAACTAGCAAAAGGGCATCGGACGCCTGGCCTCTGATTTCACAGACAAGCACACTCCCCCCCCCCCCCCCCCCCAGAACACTTTCTTAGCCGAACTTTGCATTCTTTAGAACCATTATAACTGGCATATTAACTCTTGAATGCTCCACGATTGCTCCTTATAACAATTTTCCAGCAGATTACACTTCGCCTGCCAAGGTGTGTGTGATAGACTTACCTCCCCGTGGTGCACCCTGGGCAAAAATGCACATAAACTGGCAGTTGACTCCTCACTTCAAACAACCATCAGCCCCACTGCGTCATATTCCACCATTACTCTCTGCCCCCCTCCCTCTCTCGACTTTTTGTCGCTTTGATGTTCCCCCTCCTCCTATGTGAGGCCTGAAGTCAGCTAAAGAGCTAATGATAACACTTCGCCTGCCACTCACAATTAGTATCAACGCAATTCTTCTTTTTACAATTTCTAATACTACTTATTTCCAGCTCATAATTAAGAAATGGCCTTCTCTAATTTAGGGAGTCAACTTGTCCGATCGAACGTAGACTTCCTCAATACGCGCATTCCTAAGCTATACGCATTGACCTCAACTTCTCCGTAGCATAGCATTGTGCTTTCATGATGTCAAAAATATTGCAGTAAATCGATTACCGTGGTGTAATTAGGATCCCAGAGGGGTTTCACAGCCAGGTAGGAAACAACTTTTGCCTGTCTCACAATCAGACTATCAGGCACATTATAACGCTCGGCATTTTTGGCGATACACTCCAAGTCGAATTGAATCGCGGCCTTTTGTCTAAATAGCAATGAACGCAAATAAGAAAAGATAACACATACACGCATCAAATAAAAGTGCCGATAGATTACCTGTAAAAACCGGACTCCAAACGATCTCGGATGAATTGGAGATCAATCATGTAAGGGTTAATTTTTATGTAATTGGGGTATAGGGAGAGGTCTACATAGGTAAAGAATGCTTTGGCTGCCTCAAATTCCCGCATCTGAAAAGAGAAGAGAGATTTACTACAAATTGGGGGGGGGGGGGGAAGGGGTGAAGGTGAGGTATAGCTTTTTATCTCAAATTCAAATTAACTAACCTTGTCAATAACTTTCACTGTATTAATAATGGTCTGATTAAAAGTGAGATCGCTATTGGAATTAGTCTCAGGTGGGAGAGAAAAGATTTCGGCTCGTACAAATTGTCCAGATCCGTAGAGTTTCACCAATCGATCTAACCCAAGCTGCACTTCTGAGCGAAGCGATGAGGAGATGGTGGACATAGGGACGTCTAAAAATTGTGAAAGTTTCATAACGCACACGATGACTCATCAAACACTCACAAAAGAGATGCTTATCCTCAGGTGCTCATAACCCGGGGTTCCCTCGGTCTGTACTAGAACCTTTCATTCTTTTCCAATGATCAGCATCTACCCCTTTTTGCTCGCCCATTCCACTACGTTTGCCCAATACACATTTACAAAACTGACATGGAATATACTGTGATGTCTTGTTAGGAAGATCATTATTTCTAAGAGGGGGTCTTAACTAGTCAATCCCTGAAAATTGGAAAAGTTTTTGCAAATTACAAAGACGAAGATTTACTCTATAGGCGAGTCTTCACAGAGAAGATTAGATACTACTAGCTAGTAGGTTAATGAAATCTCATTTACTAAATGTGTCGACTCTGCACATACTATTTCAAGTGTTTGATGAAAAAGTTGGAGACATCTGAACTATGAGTGCTACAAACATCAACCACGATCGAAAGGTGTGCGTATAATGGGAAAGTGTGGACCATCGGCACATTCAAAAGAGTTGTTCCGATCTTCTGTAGATCAACCGAAGTTAGCTTCGTCCCTCTCCCTTAGTAAACTTTGTCATCCTACTAAAAACGTACCGGAAATGGGTAGACGACCATCCCAAGGGTGCATGTCCCAAGGGGAAAGCCTGTCAACGTATTTTCCTTCTTGTCTTTCCTGTTCTGTTGTTTCTTCATCATATTCCTTGTAGCCGAGTTCAAAATCCTCCAGATACGTAACTTTAACTCCCAACCAAGGGTTAGGACGCAGCGGAAGTGTGCGGAACGTTGAAGACCCAGATTTCATGTGGAATCTGTAGTCCTCATACACCCTACCACGGAAACATGCTGTATCCGTGGGGAAAATAAATACGTCTCCTTTAACCCAAGATTTTCGGATTGCTTCGTCAAAGAGATTACGAAGAATAAGGAAGTCTAATCCACCCAAAAAGTTATGATAGCGAACGTAGATGGCATTGGGTATTCTAGAATTGGAGTGTTGTGTGGAGGCACCAATTGAGGTATACGGTTGTTCGGAATCAGGTTCAAGACGAAGAGAAACCAGACGAACAAAGCCATCTTCTGGCTCACCAGAATGAAATCGATCCTCGATTTCGGATTGACGACGGCAACTACCAAAGAATTGTGGATATTCTTGATATAGTTTCGGTTCGGCCTTTCTCAATTTTCCATGGCCTTGTGATTCACTTCGACTAATTCGCATGAAGTGATAGGTCAAATCCACAACATTACAACATATGTAATTCTAAAAAAAGAAGTAAAAATCTGTTGTGAGCGCAGTCATTTTCCAGACCAAAACATGGGCTGTCGAGGACATACTTGATTACGATTATCTATCAAAAACCCACGAACGACCTCGAACATCCAGTTCCGCAGCTTAGACTCACCTCAGCTGCAAAACTCAAACCAATCTTTCTGATTTTTCGCTCACTGCTTTCCTTTCTCTAACAACTTCCAAACATGCTTAAACACACTTATGAAACACGACATCAGGTGAAAGTGAGGCCACTGTGACTACATCCAACCAATAGTTCCTTAAATCTAACCCTCAAGCAGAGAATTTCTTCAACTCTTCCGTACGGTAAACAGTATTCCATTCCATGCAGCTGATTCGAATTCGACTCCCAGTAAGTCCACACTAAACCACTCACATTGCTCTTAAGTAAACATTGAGGCCACTTACCGGTAAATCACTAGTCTCTTCCCATGGTAAGGTAAGACTTTTTGCCCCGAGGGAATTGTTATCCGAGAGAGGATTGGGATCAATATCGGGGACTTTTCCATGCCACCAGGCCTTCTCAAGATACTCCTGATGGCCCTGCACCACATAAACCACCCGATCACCAAGCTGCGGTACATAGGGTGCAGCGGAGGGCTTTGTGGCTGACAGCCAATCAACAACGGGTCCCTTCCATGGACCACGCGGATTTTTTGTGTTTTGATGGAGGAATCCATCAATTGGTGGATCTTCCACTGGATAAGTACGATGCTGAAGGCAGAAAAATGTGCGATAAAACCATAGCTATTTGACATTTAACTCATATTTCAACTTTCAGGAGATGTTGTATTTCCTAAAAAAACTAATTCTTTTCCTACAAATAAAGATTAATTAGGAGACAAGGAAATATAGGCTATAGAACAGCTGGAGGCAAAATATAAGACTCGTAGCTTTCTGCTCATCTTTTTAAAGATTCACTTCATAGAAAATAGAAGAGATAATTGTTTATCCAGATCGTAAAGCACCATAAGCATAGACACTGGAACTAAAAGCCACAAGGCACACTGGTGGTGGGAAAAATTGGAGGTAAACAAAGGTAAACACCATATCAGCCCATGGAGAAGCACGCAAAATAATCATGAACACAGAGAGTAAAACCATGATAGGAAGATATACTTAACACGCTGAGTATGATACGAGCCACGGGTGGGTCGTTTATGAAGATAATACGGCATATTTAAAAGAACACCAAAAGTTGGTATTATATTGCCGTTTAAATACGCCGTGGGTGGCTTTGCAGCAAATGGAGATCAGCAACAACCCACGGATGGGTCGTATCGCACTCAACGTATTAATCACAGTCTCGTGGAGCTTCAGGTGGAAGTGATGATACTTCTTAGTCCAGCTTTCAACTCCTATAGACTATATTCCGAAGTTAATTAAACGATTTTTCTCTCTTCAACTCCTTAATCGCCACACGTTTGCCGGTAATATCACGGCTAAATTCTGGTATCGCATGTTAACATTTTTCGAATACCTATCGAGCGTCCGCTTATATGCGAGGACAATTCTCCATTTTGAAAAACTCGATACGTTCCCAGTGTCTACCACACATTCAACCAATTCCCTTCATTACAACCCCACAAACAGATTCACTAGAAGGCTACCTCTATTTGCAGCTCTCCCCTTCATACTAGCCTATTCTGAGAGAAAGTCAGTAGGCAATCAAAACTCTTTAAACCTACCATTTCGGCATGATCGATGCTTCGTATGATTCTTTGCCTAAGTTCATCCTCTAGATCATGTAAACTATCCTCCAATCGCGATTGACAATGTTCCTGTTCATTTGGAAGTACTCTTCCTCTACATAGCTGCGCTCTCTCAAATGCAGAGTAATTGCTCTGATCTTTGGGTTTCCTTCGAAGCTGGAGCCTTCTCTTAAATCGTAGGGGCCTTCGAGTAGCAGAGGAGGGAAGGGAAATGACGGGGTTCCGAGAAGCAGCAGCCAGTTGTTGTTCCGCCTGTCGTCGTCTTTCAAGTTGACGAAGCGAACGTCGTGCAGGTTGAGAAAGGAGAGAAGAGATAACAGCAAAGGTACTATCGTCTAATGAGCTATGCTCAGATAATGACGTTGATCCATTTCTATAGCGTTGCCTTCGCCTCTGAGATGTTGAATTATCATCATCGGAATTCCAGTTCGGATCACTTGAGTCATCCGACCACTGAGCCATAGCTTCGGCAAACATTTGCCTTACTGGTGTAGCGTTTGCTTCAGCTAGGTGTTTCTGTATCACAGTTTTCGGGACATAATTTGAAGATGTCGATTGTAGTTCCTTCACACGGTTAATTTTTGACCTAAAAGAGAAGAACTGGGTCATTATTACGATCAGAACTTCCAATACACCCAAACTGTGAGTGGCCTCTGGGATTATAGACAATAAGACAGGTAAAAAATGCGCGTTTCCGCATAAGAGAACACAGCTTTCTGAACTCATATAATTTAAGAACGTACTTTTCATGCCTTTAATGCGTTTAAGATTATGTAAGTACCACAATATCATGAAAGATCATCTTGTCTTGGCAGCCTCAGAAGAGGAAAAGTCGGCCATCGTGATAATAAAAAGCTAACGAGAACTGGACATAAGAAACAAGTTCTATGTGAAACAGACCTTCACCGCACACTCCCATCGAAGATAGCTATTTGATGAGACAGCCAAATAATAATTGGTCAGTTATACGCCTCTTCGATTTTCGGGTGGATTGGGAGTGGTATTTTAGAGGTCTGAAATGAAGGTTTTGGACATCACGGATTCAACAGCTCATAATTTAATATTAAGGGGGGTGTGCGATAGACTTCCCTCCATGTGGTGAACCCTGGGTAACGTATACTCATACGGCAAAAAAAGTCTATTAACCGACAGTTGACTTCTGACCTCAAACTATAATGGCCCCACTGTATGTCATATTCGACCCCTTCCACAGTACTCATCTCACCTTTTTTCTGCCTTTGTGTCTGTCTGTCTGTCTCTTACATCAGTGAATCACTTTTCTGTACACCCTCTCGAATTTATCTCACTTTGATGTTCCTCCCCTCTGTGAAGCCCGAAGTCAGCTAATGGGCTAATGATAACTATCAAAACGACTGCCATTTGAAATAAATAAATAAATAATTTAATACTAGCCCAATTAGTAATTTTGCGCGGCAATCACTTCCAAGGATCACCATGGTGATGTTGGTTAACTCTTAACCAGCCCTTCTATAGCACTCCTTATTTCGAAATGGTGACTCTATGACAACAATTAGTCAAACTCGCCTAACAGGTCAAAATGCACGTCACTCAGGACACACGACCCTTCTCTTTCTAGAGGAATGGGACAACAGCTGCATAGAAATGCAGACAACGTGGAAGAACTTTGCTTTCGTTCAAAATTTAGCATTTCAAAGAAAAAAGTGTAGAAATTTAGAGTTAGGCTTACATTAACTCATCAGGCGTGAAGGGAAGGATGAGATATTCCCTACCTGTCAACCAGTGACAACGGAAGAGGTACTTCTTTCCATGGTCCGGAGCGGTAACTGCGGGGTAGCGAGCCGTGAAGAGATAGGAGTCTGAGAGGGTGGCGAATTGTATATCATCAATTACGGCTGGTATGTCATCTGAAATTATAGAAAACACATTAAGCACACTCCCCAACTCTTCATGGAAAGCCGTACAGTGATCAAACTCCCCAAATAACTCGCCAAAGACCACGAAATACACTTTTAT